ACTCTAAAACTTGATGAATCCCATTGGGACCAATATCTCCTCAAAAATTCGAGGTTCACCTTACTGATTAGTGTAATCTGACAATAAATCTATGTTTACACTTTCCTGCCGACAACCTACTACCGCCTAACATGTCATATTGATAAAAATATATGTCAAACAAGTGAAATTGTCAAAATACAAAGGTCACAATAATACAGAGGTATAACAACGCAAACACAATTATTGTTGTTATGACAACATCAAAAACTCATAAAATTAGTCTACATCAACCACAGAAACTTTATGGTATAAATGTTCTTTTTAAAAAATAAAACGTAAACTACATTAGGAACAAAACAGAGGTAACTATGTTTTCCGGTTAGATCATTTATAAACTTTAGCTGTTATTAGTGAATATGATTAAATGGTTATGTTAAGAGAGAGAAAATTTCTACAACATGTACTGTCTAGATAATATACGTACTTTAATCCCAGCATATACAAACCATGTGAATTAGTTACAGTATTGAGGTTTGTTATTTTTACGTAACTTAAATAATCTATTGACAACAATTACTTTTTAAAAATATCCTAATTCAAACGGATTAACTAGAAAAATAAAATGGTTATTAATGAAAATGTTTTTGTTTTGATGTTTTTTATCTATTTGATTACTGTTAGGTGTTGCTTAGACAGCAGTTTATCACATTAAGTGGAATGCATACAAAAAATAATTCTGTTAAGAAGGTGAATAACAACATTTGAATGACTATTTCTAAACATACTTTAATTATATATACTTTAAAGTTATACATCTAAGTTAGTCATATAATATAATTATCCTTGTAGAATAAAGTATGTAGATAAACAATTATTCAGTTAAACATTATTTCAGATTAATTAACTGCACATCAGCCCTCGCTTTTTTCCAAAATTAACCACGATGAATGGATTTTGAGAAAAAAGGGTATTTAGACCCAATCTAGGGTGACAATCATGAAGTACTGCCAAGAACAATAAAGGAATTCCCGAGTGATAATAACTAAACAGGAATGATTAGTTTAAGAGGGAATTGAATGACCTGGGTCTCGTAACTTCACGCATAAAATTCTTGATTTTATTTGCAGACTAAACCGAATGATTAGTTAATCATTGTCGAGCTGTTATACCACTCAAAAGGACATCTTAAACATATGTGTGTATATTAACAAAAGAGTACAGAATCCCAAAACGTCAATATTCAAAATGTTTTAGATACAAAGCAGCAATCTAATGGCCGTTTACAAACTGAATTTTAAAAAATGATTTTGTTGACCTGTCTAAACATTGAACTAACACTTGACTACCTTACTATTCTGATAGTGTTCACTTTTGACATTCTAGTCCTATGAACATTAAATTGTGATTATCATGGTCCTTAAAGTGAACAGAAAGCAAATCGTATTTCGAATAAAATTATTTCCTATCAATACATTCTGGAAAACGGTCACTTAGTATGTTCTTTTCTGTAATAAATGTATACTTGAAAAGTAGTGATTATTATATACAACTGATATTACCGTATTTGTTTGGAAAAAGAACGGTAAATTTACAGTTGTATAGTCTATATATTACCTCTTTCAAAAACCCTATACTGATAATCATGTCCTCACCAGTGACTAGCTTCGAGAGGGAATTTTCAATGTTCTATTGACAAGTTGTGACCAATAAAAATCAACCGTGTCGGATGTGAAGCAGTTATCCACCAAAGACATTTGAAGATAGTCGCGAAATATCGTGGATTGCTTAAAGCTAGACGTTAACACTGTTGGATACCAGCTGAATGGTCCAGAATTGAAGCGTTTGTGCGCGAGGCTGAAAATTCTAGGTTTGTGTCCCACGTGAGGGATGTGCACTGTTGAGGAGTCCCATATTGGGACGATATCAACGTCCAGTGTTTCCAGGTTTAACATTAACTGAATAATGATCTTATTGAAACTCAACAATCTCTACAACCGTATACGGGAAATTTATTTAGTTTCCATCGATACTAATACAATTAGGTATGTTCCAGTTGAAGATCGTGTATTTTTTATAATTTCCTCTATCAGAAGGGGTTTTTGTGGATATTATAATAATTTTAATTTTGAGATCATTAATTAATTGAATCTAGAAAGCACTGGACGGCCGTTTAGTCCTATTGTGGGACTCCTTAGCAGTGTGCATCCACGATCTCGCCTTGCGATATCGGAATCCAGTACCTATCGGTATCGCGCACAAAAGCTTAACCTGTAGATCACTGATCCAGGGTCTATCGAACTTCAACTAATCCACGAAATTGAGCGACACATCTACCATTGTCTTCAGTGAGTTACTATCTCACAACGGACCCTCTATGATTACTAAATCACTAATGATACGTTTGACCGTCAAATTCACTTTTATTATCAATTGTTACATTCTTATTTCTAAATTTTTACATATTTTAGTTTACAAGAAATCCGCTTATACTAAACCCAAATAGAATCAATTTTAAGGAGTGTTCTTATAGTTTTAACAAAAGGCTGTTTCGTATACGTACGCACAAACTTAAGGTAATATTTTTTATTTCTTTCTCCTTTAAGATGTCATTTTAGCATTCGTTTAAACCAACAATGTGAAATTTCGTTTACCCATTCTTGAACTTTAAAATTAATATTCTGATTACTTTTATTTGTAATAACTACATACTACAAAAATATAGTTTATAGAATGTGTTAGCATTTCTCAAAGATAATCCTACGTCAATTGGTTAGCAAGAAAACAGTCGGTACTTTTTAATGTCGTTTGCTCGAAAACACTATGTCTATTCTGTTTTGATAATCAAACAGACTTTAATTCTTGATACTTGATAATAGTCCTTAATCATCAACTGTTTTTTCAATTTATTTTATAATTTTAACACTCTTCGAGTAGATAATCAACTCTTATATCTTTTTGTCCATACAAACAGATTCATCTCACTATTTCGTATTATCTAATACATGATGATATATCTAATTTATTTAATACTTCAAAATTAATTGCTCAACAATTATCCATACTAAATAAACATAAATACAAATATACAACTCTGATAAACAACGTTATTCAAGGGAAAATTTCTTGATTGGTTAATTTTTAAACATGTATGTAAATCTTCAGTTAATTGTGTGTAATATAATTTATTTCGTAAGTGTAATATTAAAGTGAACTAGTTCAGTAGAACTTGATAGTAAAACAAGGTAGGTGATATTGTATTTTCATTATAAATACTCAAATAACCAACGTATTTTAGTTAATATTGAAGTTTGAAATTTCCCTAGTTTTAGCATTTAAAAAAAGAACACTGACTCTATTCGACATAATGGACTATAGTACTTACGTAAAATATTCATATTCTAAAGGATTAAAAAATAAAGTTTAAAAATGAAATAAAAGAACTCTAAAGACAAGCATTAACAACACTTCCCAGGAAGCAAAATTAAATCGATCAATATTTAAAAGGCGGTTAGTCGGACAGTTAATTATGTATTATATTCGAGCATTTCTTTTTTTTTCATATTCGTAAAATAATAATAACAAAGTAAATATCAATCACGTATTGTAAGTGGGTTTGAAAGTGTATTAAAGGAGAGAGGTAGTATATGTGTGCAGACACAGAAACAGATGCATACACCTACACACATACATTCATTTAAGTAACCATGATTTATTTGCTTACTTATTTGTTAATTCTAATGCTTATAAAAACTCTTTTCATTTATCCTGCCTATACATTTTAGAAACCGATTAATAGCACGAAAAATAACAGAATAATGTCAGTAGGGTTTATAATCAATAATCATAGTTTAGAAATCTTACTTCTGACTATTTTTTTAATCATATATTCATTTCTTTTTCACTTGCTATTATTATACTAAGATTTCTTAGAAATATTCTTATTATTTTAGGCTAGTTAATTACTTATATTAACTAATTATGCGATATTACAATATTGTTGGGTTGTGACACATGCTACTTTGGAAACCAGTTGGAAAACTAAGATATTTTAAGTTACTTAACTGAGCTGAACTAAGGAATGATGCCTAAAAAAACGGTTCAGTCCAATTGCCAATAAATTAATGGATTAACGTAACGTTTTGGTTTTGTCGCCTCTAGCTTACTTCTAGTCAACTACTCCTAGATCAGGCGAAGTCACCCATGGAGGTAAATGGCGGTTAAGCTTACGTATTACATATCTCAATCACAGTCTACAAGGGCTCACTGTCTTATTAACTGGGTTACCTTTCTCAACTAGCTTTTCGTTCCCCTCTTCAGCATTACTTACTCAATCGCCCCAACCTATGAGATTTATGCTTTGAAGACACCTACGATCATATACTGGTAACCTATGAATATCCTCAATCGCTAATGGGTGCGTTTCACAGTACGAACCGCTTTACAGTATGCTGTTTCTTCGACTCGCATACATGCACTTCCTATGCCACAAGAGATATGAACCAGCAAAAGACAAACTAGCATTCTGAATTGGTGCAGGGAATTAGTTAGACATGTACTCTTTATGGTTGATGAGACTTTTATGACAAATAAAGTGGTCGATGAGCTCAATTATTTCACTCTTTACAAGTGATTCAGGTGTCGACATAGACCAGCCCGCAATATTTTGGATTTAGAGGAAGAAAATAGTAATTCAAACACACCATTGTTAGTATTCAGGGTAACTTGATGACTCTGCATTTTATCTGTATCGTCACCAAACACCGTTATGTCATCTGCATATTCCAAGTCATCAAGCCGATCTCCCGGTAAGAGACCGATTTCTCAAAAACTAGACCACGACAGCGCTTTCTGTAAGTGAATATATATAGCAAATGTGAACAAAAATAAAGTGTACAATCCTAACTACTTCCAGAATTCGGAATACGATATCACAACGATTTTACTATGGAAGAAATGATAAGTGTAACTTTACGTAACTAGAACATGACATTTTCCGTTTAAAAATTCATTATACTTACCTAATTACTCCTTTTGCTGTTTGAATGATGATAATGATACTGGACGATCGGAATGAACAGAAGCATCACTTGAATGTATATCAGCCAAATTATCAGTATTCGATTTAACGAGTTTTGAGGGGGAATTTTTAAGTGGATTATCACATTCTTTAATCAAATCTGGAGAAACATTACGATATAATTCATGGGGAAATGAATATGAAAGTCTGGGACTTAACTTCGCATAATTAATATGACTTTTATACAAATCCTTATCAGTAGGAAACGATAATTTTGGACAGTGTTGAGAGTGGATAATCATTTTATTATTAAAACTATTGGTGGTATTATTTGATGAACTGTTTTGATGTGATGTAGATGTGATTGAAATATGTGACTGTGCACTAGCAAACTCGGTTAGATTTTCATCTTCTAACGACGAATATATTGGGTTGGATTGTACACATGATGACTGAGATGAAACATTTGCTTTTGTATTGGAACTTGTACAAAATATCACAGAGTTTGGATAATCCGCAACACTAAAGGACGATTTAGGTATGGCAGCTATATTAACTAGATTATGTTCATTAGACCAACATAAATCACAACTATCAATGTCAGACGGATTAAGTGACTTCCCATAATTATTAGATGACTTATCAGTAAAAGTGAAGTTAGATTTGAATTGAAACGAATTTGATGGAAATCTAAACGATGGCCAAGTGGGGCTTGATGCAAAACCTGGATCCCTTGTGAGAAATGATTTTTCCTTTACCAGCTCATTCAAACCAAGTTCATCACTATAAGTTAACCTTGAATTATCTAGTAATGGTTTTGTTTCACTATACGAAGGATAGATTGAGTTATCTACGGTAGAATTATTATTACGAGAATTTTCATCTATGTCAATTATATCAACTTTGTCTGGTATTTGTGAAGAATTTGCGACTTTTATATCCATTAATTTTTGATTATTATGGTTATCATCAGTCTCATAGTTTGTGGTACAATTTATTTTTTTATAAAAATTACGATAACCGTGGTTGTGTTTGAATTTATGAAGATTTAATTTTCGTTTAGAAAATGTCGTTAAATGGACTGCTGAACATCGACGATCTGATGAAGGCTGACCCCGTGAACCATGTAGACGGAAGACTTGCAAATGACGAAAAGGATTAGACTCACTACGATGAACGGCGGATTGACGTTCAGTTAGTTTATCAACATTTGATATATGGTCACTGCTTCCAACCTCAGTATTATTATTTTCGGTATTATCGCAGTCATTAATATTACTTATTGACCTTCTATTTTCATACAAATCTTTTGATATAGACTGTCTTACCCTCAAAAAGCGAGAGATTTTCGAAATGGATTCACTTGTTAGACGTCTATGATGCTTAAAGTTTCCATGTTCCAGTACACTAATTAAAGGATTATTCACATTTAAATGACTGTTTGATTCTCTTGGTTCATTGATTGTTGCTCTCGCCTGTTAATTCATGTAAAAAAAGATTGAAAAAGTATCGTTAATTTTAAAAATATTTAAACGTAAAGTGCATTCCATAAAGGGTTCAGAAACCATCAGGTACATTGTTAGTATATAATGATCTTTGAATAAATGTAAAAATAAATAATTATACCTAATTCTATTGATGGCTGTACAAACAACAAGAATAACTAAATTCATTTTTGAAACAAATATTTAATTATGCCTGGTTTATTGTTTCTGCACTCACAGAAAACATGAAGTTAGTAAAAATATAATAATTATCAAAAACATGATACAAAAAATCAAATCATACTACCCATACAGATCAAAGTGACTTAAAATTACAGAATAATATAGTTTTTTGTTTGGAGAAAATACTTGTTACCATTTGATCTGCATAATCCTCTCTTCTTTTCAGAATATTTACAAATCTACCCTAATAACAACTAATTTTCCAAACAGTTTTAAGTTGATTAGCTTTTACTATGATAAATATACATTTATGTCAACACCTCGCTTAATTAGTAACTTTTGGGATAGTTAATAGGTAAAATGGATTGAATCGTTAAAAAAGAAATATGGTAATTTAAGGAGAAAAACTGAATTCATAGATTGAAAGTTTTCTTATATTTGATTGCATCATGTTTTCTATTCATACTAAACTTTGATCCCAGTCTACTGAGTTCGACTAACGTAATTTCAAATGTTTGGATTTCTTCTCCTATAACTTATTTTTACGTATTTCACTTGTAATTATCTTTAACATAACACATTTCGTCGACATTGCCATTACATAATTTTCAATCAAAATAAACAAACAGGTGTTGTTTTTATTTTCTCCATTCGGTTAATTATTTACTTGACCATGAAGTTTGATTAGTAACATGTTATATTAGTCTGTATTCGATGAACAAACTTAGGTGAATTTGTATTGGTCAAGGTCATACGAAGTCATTAGAAAAGTATGGGCCAGAAGTGTTAGATTTTTAATGTACTATTTGTTTCATATACACTGACTGCAGGATGGATAAGCAAAAATGAGATATATTGTTTACCAACTATAGGAGAGAAATCTAATAACTGGAGACAGTAACATCAACTAGCTGATAGATTAGCGTAACATAACATAGTATTGAACAAGATAATTTTCAATAACAATAAGTGAATTGACCGTGGTCATTTTTTGTTATAATATATAAATAGTCTATGCATAAGTTAACCTTTTTATGGTTTAAATTTTTCGTTCCCCAGCTAACACAGACTAACTGAAGTGATCGATTATACTCTACGGTGATTCTCGAAATATTACAAAAGTGGTATTTCCAAAATATGTTAACAATATTTGTGAGTGAAATAGGATCAACTTACATAAACCGGTTGTTATGATAAGTCAGAGTAGTAAACAAAGATGGTTTAGTTTCGCTGTATAAAAAATTATCAGTAATGACACTTGATTATCTAGAAAATAGGTTTACATTTAAGCTACGTGACTGAATATTCAGCTGAATGAATATTTAGTCACGTAGCTTAAATGTAAACCTGCCGTCTTTATTGTAATACATACATGATGGGAAATGCCTGATCTCTGATTTATCATTGAAAGATCTTGTGCAAGAAATATGTTTCTCCGAACTAGCCTATCACGCTCATTACTTGTTTTGAATAAGGGATTAATGGTTAGTAGCATACCATACCAAAACATTATACTGTCTTTTTTAAACAAGGTTTTCAACTTAAAATGACATTAGCTAGAAAACAACAGAAAAATAAAGGGCAGTGGGCGGCAATTTTCGGTATGTGACTATTTAGAAAGGGTAATCATATCCAGGTACGTAAGCTTGTAGACTAATGAACTCAAACTGACAGTTTCTAAAAATCTAATGATTACTATAAATATTTTTCACTTGAAGTTGTATTCTTATTTAGTATAAATTTTCATACACCAGTTTTGACAGTTTCATCATCAATATCAACTGTGATTGTAGGAAATGCACATCGAAAAACAGTATATTTAAATAAATCGCAATGATATGTGATCTATGAAATCGACATGCTGGGTTACATGAACCAACCGACTTTATATGACATGAAATGATAATTCAAATTATCCATACGTTCATTTAAAAATTAATCCTTTGTCTGTTACCGGAGAACTTAAATTATTTCTTTTGAATATAATTTCACCCTGAACGTTTTTATAACGACCAATCTCCATTCAGAATGAATATTTATTCGTTTTTAAAATATACTGTTATTAATCATTTCAATGAGGAAACATCTTAATCGACTTCTTTTACATGTTACTGAATAAAATCAAGGGGAATTTCTTAGATTCAGTAACACAGTAATTAAAACGAATTTCAGTCAACTCAAAATTCGAAATTAATCATTCGTTCACTTGTTTCGATGTTCTCTACTATTCAGCCCCGATTAAAATAAACTTTGAGTGATTATATGGGGAAGATAGACAAAGACGACCAAGAAAGAAATTGTCATACTAAAAATCATCACGGTAAATGGATAAACAAACACTTTATAAGACTAATATCTCAACGTTTTCTAGGAACCAGGATCACAATTTCCAAAAATTAGCTTTCTGTTGTATAACTAAAATAGCTAACTCAATAAACTTTATGACCGGATATCCAATGTTAGTTGAAAACAAACATCTTGACATAATAGTGACATTATGTTGTATATTTGAAAATAAGTAAAACTTCATCATTTGGTTAACGGGACGCATGAATAGTTTTCACTTGACTGTATCTGACTGGTGAGTTGGATCAATAACAATTTGTAAGCAATCATCCATTACTTTAATTTTTAATCCTATATTCACTGAATAATCTAAAATTTTAGTGGTTCAACCCCAGTCAACGATGACAGTTATTATTTCCTATTTGTTTACATATAAATGCACTATAAACTGAATGTGAATAGATGGTACAATATCATATAATAGCATGTTCTAGTTGTATCAATATTTTGAAGAACAATACTGTCATTAAACCATTAATAAAAATAAATTATACGAGTAGAATAAGTATTATTCTTCAAGTGCATTTTATTTTTAAATAAAATAAACCTTAGGATATGACTTTTTTAAAAATGACAACGCATTCGGTGCAACTAATAATTTCCATAGGTGGATTTTGATTTATTTAAAGAGTACAAAAACTTTTCTTTAAAAAAAAAGAAAAGTAACAACACTTATACCTATATAAACTCAGTTACTAATAAAATAGTTTGCCAAAATATTATTATTATTATTACTGAATCTTTAGTAACAAGAAATGTATCGTGTTTGAAAAAGCAATATAATAGTAAAGAATCTAAAAGTTAATTGTAAACTTTTTATCAAACTTCATGTAAAAAGAGTTTGAAATATTTTTCTACCTCAGTAGTTATTCATTTGGGGACACGTAAAAAAGTGTACGACTGAACAAATATCGTTTCCTGCACCCATTATGTAAAAATCATCCTAAAAAAGTTTAATTTAGTAAAGAATAATCAATCGAGTAGAAATGTTTATTCGTCTGTATCGCTTAAGTAAGTCAGGTTTTCTAAATATTTCATTATTCTATTACCAACTCTGAATCTGGCCTTAATATGAAAGAATTACTGAACACTGTCACTGCAGATTTATGTAAAATACAAGAACTGAACATTTTGAAAGTAAGAAATTAGATGTAAATAAGAAAATGCAGAATGAAAGATACCTTAACACAAATAATATCATTATTGTACCCATTTTGCACAAAAGTATTTCTTAAGTCATTTTGACAATTCTGGAGTATTTATATTTCATGGTGAATATATTTCAATGATATTTTAGTTGTAATTTTATTTTCAAAAACTCCGCCTTTTGGGGTTACTGCCGGTCCCGAGGCCGGATAAAAGAATATGCCTGAGCATGTGGTCGGCAACCCCATCCTGAAGAAAACAACCTTCCCAAAAAAACGCTAACCAGAACAAACGAATTGAACTCTTTGAACCCTGCCCTCCGAGTGCAAGGAAGAATTATGGTGTCTTAGAATGAAACCCGAGATTTTTCGGAAGTCACGAGGCCGGTGCTCCTCCTAACAACCAGAGCAACAATTTTTATAGGTATATGGAATGTCCGGACAATGTAAGAAACCGAGAAGACCAATCAAATAACAAAGGAAATGAAGAGATGAAAAATCGGCAGTAATTGAAATTAGTGAAATCCATTGGACCCAAGCTGGACATCAAAGGCTAGACACGGGAGAGATGCTACTGTACTCCGGCCACGAAGAAGAAAATGCACTTGTAAGACGTAAATCTCATAGATTCAATATCATAAAAGCATTATTCAAAACAAAGAAGGATGGAATCAGAATGAATGTTATCCAATGTTATGCACCCACAAATGATAGCAACAACGACAATAAGGATCAGTTCTACTCGAGGCTACAATCAATCATATCGAGTTGCCGAAGAAAGGACCTCAACATCCTGATAGGAGGAAAATTGGAAAGGAACTAAAGAAGCACTAACTTCAACGTGTCAGAAGGTGCTGGGCCGTAACAAGCATCATCATAAGAAATGGATCTCTATAGCAACCCTGAACAAGGTTGAAGAAAGGAAGAACAAGAACACAGCAATTAAAAACAGCTGAACACACAACTTCGAGATCAACAATCAGGATTCCGTAAGCATCACTCGTGCTCAGACCGAATTTCGACACTACGGATCATCGTGGAACAATCACTTGAGTGGAACTCGTCATCATACATCAACTTCATTGACTGTGAGAAAGCATTAAACAATGTGGATAGGAGAACATCATGGGAGCCTCTCCGACACGAGGAAGTGCCAGAGAGAATCATCGATACCATTCGGAACTCATACGACAGATCACAGTGCAAAGTAGTGTATGGAGGACATCTGACAGATGCGTTTCCAATAAGGAACGGAGTCAGAAAAGGCTGCCTACTCTACACATTCCTCTCTCTTCTGGTGGTTGACTGGATGGATTATGAAGACCTCCATACCTGACGGGAAGTACGGAATAAAATGGACAGTTGGGATGGAGCTAGTCGATTTGGACTTCGCAGATCAACTGACCCTCCTACCTCATACACACGAACAAATGCAGGTCAAGACAAACAGCGTAGCAGCAGTCTCTGCATCAGTACGCCTCAACATACACAAGGAAGAAAGCAAGATCCTCAAATCCAACACGGAGAACACCAGCACAATAACACTTGATGACGAAACTCTAGAATTTTCTTTAAATATTTCCTAATTTTCTTAATATCTTCTTATGCTAACAGACATACTAACAGAACTAACATTGAGAAATGGAAAAATCTTCGTTAAAAGCTGTACTTCATTTACGCATCATTTGTGTTATCATCAGTCTAGTGGTAATATTCGCTCTTTAAAATAAAGTTTATCAGAACATAGTGTCAGTTTCAAATAGTCATTAATTATTTTATACAAAAGAATCTACAAGCATGAAACACAATAAACCATGAAGATTTGAAATTAATTCAAATTTCATCCAGTCCCTTGTTGATTATGCAAAATACTTTGCCATATGTCAACTTGTTGCTGTATTTACTTAGTAAGATAAGGGTTTGTCTATGAACTTTACTTTAAAAAACTTTCTTAAATTTACTTGTACTGTTAGATCTGGTGTTTAACTCACGTACAAAATCAAAAGTTGGATGGATAAACGAGAAGAAATATAGTTCTAAAAGAAACATAAAGAGGTCAGTATTGGTAGAGTTTTGTTCTCTAAACTGGATGATTGACTTGTGAAGCTTTTGTCGTCCTTATGTATAGCATAATCAGCATAAACTTCATGTTCATTTTTTTTAGTTATAAGTGTTATTCATCATGGATTGATTTCAATTACAGTACCACTGAAGATTGAAGAATGGACAGTTGTTTTGTCACAGTACACGATGCCTTAGTATTTTAAACAAACATCTCGTCTATGGGTCAAATCTTGAACTTTCAGGTCTCTGTACAATCACAGCCATGAGACCAGTATTTTTTTCTCCATCAAATGTAAAATAACTAGAAAAGCAGTATCAAACTTTCTCCACATATGTTGTATAAGATAAGGCATGTAAAGACTGAATTAAAATTTATGTTCGCATAATTAGCTCACTTTATATTAACTTAATCTTATAAACAAATACTAAATGATAAATACACCTGTCTTATTATGTCATTTGAAAAATTATTTGTTTATATCTATTTGACAGATGATTTAATACAAATGAACATCTTCGTATACCCTGGTGATTTATCTAAGGCTTGAACCAACTAAAACAATTCTAACTGAATAAATATTTTGAATACAATTTTTGGGTTAATATTATGAAAAATAAAGATACATTTTGTGATCTAGTGTTTATTGAAAGTAATTGCTTTAGCAATTTGAATGAATTATTTTGATCAGTCATTGCAATTAAAAAATCTCTTGGATATTTTGTTTTACGAAAGAACATTAAAATAAAATGGGAAGCGATAAATTTTTGATTGAAGTCAACAAGAGAACAATAGTCATTGGGTAATAAGACACTTGAATAGGATAAAATACAATAATGTCAATGTACCATTTGATTTGATTAGTAAAACAAACTTGACAATAAATGAACCTTTCAAAGATGATGAAAGTGATGGATCATTTACTTTCATATATTTTGATCATCGATTTCAGGACTTACCAACCTATGCCTTTATACTGTGATTTTATTTTTGTTTAGGAAAATCTTGACAGTCCACTGGTTTGAATCTAAAATTATTAAGGAGTTTTTTGGTGTATCACTTGTTATTCAACTTACTTCTTATATTTGTTATTCACAACTCTTCTTTCAGTAAACTATGAAACTAAGGATAATGTTAACCTTAATTTTAATGTGAGAATAGGTGATTCAGTGAGTTGTACACTTAAAATCGAATTCAGGTCAGACAAGATATGACAGTGGCTTTCATTTACTTTTTTTTCCATAAAATACCTAAAACATCTTAAATTATTTCCTACATCGAATAATTTTATTATTTTCAAAGTTTTACAATAAAATATTTAGCGTAGAAAAACTAGACAATCAGTAATTCAATTAACACTTATTTTAGCTTAGTAATATTTTCTGTCTATTCACATATATATCATTTCCTGAAGGGTGAAACAATTAATCCATGCTATTTTCCCAAACTAATATTGAACTGATTTGAATAAGCATCTGTTAATTTGATAATCATTATAATAGAATAATTATCTGGATATATATATTGGTATTACGTCAATCGGTCTATGAATTCTAAATATAAACTATAAGAGGCATAGAATTCAGTTCATTACGGATCAATATTATTATGATAAAATGGAATAAGTTACATTACATGGAGGTTTTGTAGTTCTTGTAAAAATGACAATATAACAAGCCAATATCCTCTTATGTTAATTGTGATTGCGGTCAATAAAGGTATGAAATATCGTTATTTTAAGGACAGTTTACGTTTTATTTTTGTTCTATATCAATATGAAGTAGTAAAAGGGTAACGATACTACTATCAACATTGAAGTATGCCTTAAATTCCATATATTTGTTTAAATCAACGTGTAGTTATTGATGCATCAACTAAAAAAGCTCCTATCCAAAACAACTTTACGATTAAAACAAGCTTAATTCATGTATATGGGTGTTAGATATTTGAGAATGTCTAGAAAAAAAAACAATATTTCAGTACGAAATCTAGTGATTGGTGTAAGCTTTCAATAAGTTAACAACTAATGTCAAAAGAATATATTATTCAGTGAAAATTAGATGATTGACCGTTACTATTTTTTAAACAGGGTCAGAAACTCTACATCATGAACCATGAGTCAGTCTTTCTTAGGTGCTTGTTAGCAGAAATTTGTTTATATTGGTTAATACTAATGCAACTGACATAGTTCTGTTGCTTTTCCCCAAACTACGACCTCATAGTTTACACAAACACGTTGTTTTTCATTCATATTTTTAAATCTAATCCATCTGTGGTAACAAAATAACTTAAAATAATGGTGAAATAATTCTTTTCCATAAAATTCTCAATCATTTATTGAATATTGTTTTAAGAACCCTTACTCATAGTGTTGTGAATTGAAAGGACTGACATTCGAAATCAATGTGGAATGACTCAAACATTTCACTTTTACTCTCTACAAACTACTGATATACAACAGACAACAAGGAAACATTACATGGTTATTTCAACTAATATTGTAACAGTTTAACATGAACCTTTAAATATATGCAATTAGTTGTCCGAGAGGTGTGATACACACACCGATTCACTAGTTACACCAACGTGAAATATTGGTTGAGGTGGGATTAAGTCATAATAAAAAATGGAAGTGACAAGAAAACACATATTTATAGATAACAATTACGATAATTGGAATCACAGACTAAAAATTGAATACAGCTTACCGTCACCACATTCAAACAATCCATTAGATGCTTTTGTTGTAACAGTATAAGATCTTCAAATGTTAGTTTGGCTTTGTGAGAACTTTTACATTTATTAGTTTTTTGCCCTTTTGTTGTAGGTTTCTGCTGCTCATTTGAGTGTTTTCGTTTATCCATGCTTGAATCTGAAAAACTGCTTTGGCTAGCTGGGTGAATATATATAGGTAGGAATGATGGTTTGTTATTCTTGTCTTCATCACTTATCCGTTGAACTTTTCTGTGTTGACTTTGCCGTCCATCATTAAGGGAAAATGTACGATTTATTGTCTTGCGTTTATTACTTGATTTGAAACTAGAAGAATGCAAGACCTAAATAAATTGACAAGTTTCAAAGCATGAAATATTTTTATATTTAAGTAATTGAGTCAAATTAATTACTAGAAAAATAAGTTAATATTTTAAATATTTTAACACTAGATTCATAAGCTCTGTTAACAAACTAAGGCCTTTACAATTCAATTATTTTGCTCATAAAAGCAGGATCAAATCCTATCCCTTTCGCCTGTTACTCCCAATGGAGCATAGGCCGCCGACCAGCATTCTCCAACCCACTCTGTCCTGGGCCTTCTTTTCTAGTTCTTTCCAGTTCTTGTTCATTCTTCTCATGTCTGTCTCTATTTCTCGGCGTAATGTGTTCTTTGGTCTTCCTCTTCTCCTTCGACCTTCAGGATTCCATGTGAGGGCTTGTCTTGTGACACAATTGGGTGATTTCCTCAAAGTGTGCCCAATCCACTTCCAGCGCTTCCTCCTGATTTCTTCCTCCGCTGGAATCTGGTTTGTTGTCTCCCACAGTAACTTGTTGCTGATAGTGTCTGGCCATCGGATCCGAAGTATCTTGCGTAGACAGCTGTTAATAAACACTTGTATCTTCTGGATAATGGCTTTCGTAGTTCTCCACGTCTCCGCCCCATACAGTAGAACTGTCTTGACATTTGTATTGAAAATTCTAACCTTGGTGTTGGTTGACAATTGTTTTGAGCTCCAGATGTTTTTCAGCTGTAGGTATGCTGCTCTTGCTTTGCCGATCCGCGCACTCACATCTGCATCAGATCCACCGTGTTCATCAATGATTCTGCCCAGATATGTAAAGATTTCCACATCCTCCAAAGCTTCTCCGTCAAGTGTAATTGGATTGGTGCATATTGTATTGTATCGGAGAGTCTTGCTTTTCCCTTTGTTTATATTGAGACCTACTGCTGCTGAGGCTGCTGCTACACTGGTCGTTTTCTCCTGCATTTGTTGTTGCGCGTGTGATAGAAGAGCCAGATCATCCGCGAAGTCCAAATCGTCAAGCTGCATCCTGCCTGTCCACTGTATCCCGTGCATTCCTCCAGATGTTGACGTCTTCATAATCCAGTCGATCACCAGGAGAAAGAGAAAGGGTGAGAGTAGGCAACCTTGTCTAACACCGGTCTTTACTTGAAACGAGTCAGTGAGTTGTCCTCCGTGGACGATTTGGCAGTTTAGTCCATCATAGGAGTTCCGTATGATGTTGACTATCTTCTCAGGCACGCCGTAGTGTCGAAGAAGCTTCCATAGTGTCGTCCTGTCCACGCTATCAAATGCCTTCTCGTAGTCGATGAAGTTGATGTACAGTGATGAATTCCATTCGATTGATTGTTCCACAATGATACGTAGGGTTGCGATTTGATCTGTGCACGATCTATCCTTACGAAATCCAGCTTGTTGATCTCGAAGTTGAGCGTCCACGGAATCCTTCATCCTGTTTAACAATACTCTGTTGAAGACTTTTCCTGGTATTGAGAGAAGAGTGATGCCCCTGTAGTTGTCGCACTTGCTCAAATCGCCTTTCTTTGGTATCTTGATGAGAAGTCCTTCTTTCCAGTCTGTTGGTACATGTTCTTCGTCCCAAATCTTACCGAAGAGGATGTGGAGTATCTTGGCAGTTGCTGTTACATTTGCTTTCAGTGCCTCTGCCGGGATGTTGTCTGGTCCCGCTGCTTTGCCACTCTTGATTTGTCTAATGGCCATGCTGATCTCTTCAATTGTTGGTGGGTCAATATCGATTGGGAGGTCTGTGGGTGCTGCTTCGATGTTGGGTGGGTTCAGTGGAGCTGGTCGATTCAAGAGTTCCTTGAAGTGTTCTACTCACCTGTTTCGTTGTTCTTCAATATCGTTGATTACTTTGCCTTCCTTGTTTTTCACTGATCTTTCTGGTTGACGGTAATTTCCAGCAAGTTTCTTTGTTGTATCATACAGTTGTCTCATGTTTCCCTCTCTTGCAGCCTTTTCCGCTGTCATCGCTAAATCTTCCACATATTTACGTCGGTCAGTCCTGATGCTCCTCTTCACTTGCTTGTTTGCCTCTGTGTATTCGGCTTGTGCGTTGGCTTTTTCTGCTCTTGTTCGGCTGATATTGATTGCTGCCTTCTTGTTCCTCCTTGTTTCAATTTTATCCAGTGTACCAACAGTGATCCATTCCTTGTGATGGTGCTTCTTTTGGCCCAAAACCTCCTGACATGTTGAAACGATTGCCTCCTTGATACCTTTCCAGCTGCTCTCTATGGTGGTTCCCTCTCCATTGAGTAGGTCATGAAAGGCCTCGAACCTGTTGCTGAGGGCTATGTTAAATTCGTTGAGTTTGTCAGCATCTCGAAGAAAGGCCGTGTTAAACTTTTGTGATGTTGTCCGCGCCATTGTCCAGTGCTTCTTGAGTTTTAGTTTCATCTTGGCAACCAGCAAATGGTGATCGGATGCTATATCAGCTCCTCTTCTGGTTCTCACATCCTCCATCGTCCTCCTGAACTTTTTGTTGATGCAGACATGGTGGAATCAAATCCTATGACATTCATAAATTATCATCCAATAACACATGTGTATGCATTCTTGAATAAATTAACTTGGAGAGATGAATTACAATTCCTCTCAAAAAACCAATCATTCAGTTATTAACCTTTTATATGAGGAACAGTCTGGTAGTCGTTACGATCATAGGTATGAAGAGGTGGGAATTTGTAATGTACGATTCCAAAAAGTTGTTCTCTTACCCAAAACAATAATAAGAAGTTATAAACATCATACTCATGATAAAAACAATACATGAAAGCTAACTAAACTTCTTACTATCACGACCCACAGGTAACTTAAACCTTTTGTGAAGCTTTTAATTAGTTTGTGTTTTTCATCAGTTTTTCGAGTGTTTGATTTAAAAAACCTTATGCAAACTAGTCATAAAAATTAGGTTAACAAATGGACAGCAATACAGTGCACGTATAGCAGTAACTTTAATTTTTATCAGGTTAACAAAGTGGACACCTCTAGTTGGATTTATCTATTATTTAAGAATAGCATAGGTTACAGTTAAACTAACTCTCCAACTATACTTAAATCAATAACTTTTGTATAACAATTTGATTTCTTTTTGTTTAAACAGTAATTTTTGATTACTGTAACATTGAATTCATTTTTAATTTCCATTTACTTCAAGTTTTAACCGTTCTAAAATGCAGACATTTCTCCTTTACTTTAGTGACCTACGTCTTTATCTACACCATAATAGACACATTTTCAGGCTTGTAATGTGTTGATTTATAATAGTCAACATCAAGTGGGTTAGTACATATAGAAAGACATATTGTCAAGGAAACTTAGCAGTTAAGAGAAAAAAATTCTTTGCTAACTCTGACTCATTATTTCTATATCAGTTGTTAATTATTTTTTCATAACTGTTCATGCTGTAGACAATTTTGAAATAAAACTATTTGTTTACTGCCCATTATTCAATGTTCTCCGATTGTAGAATCATCCATTCTCAATTTATATCTAAACAGACAAGCCACAGTTAGCGATATTATTATTTTACATCATTAGATATTGCTATTCCACACTCATTTATTCTAGTTATGTTTCCTATTAGATCCCTGGATGGGAATCACACATAATACGCAATTATACCTAGAACAAATAATTGTACGCAAAAATCATTGAAACGAACCATGTTTTAAATACTGAAAGTGAACTAGAATATATATATTAATCAAAGTATTTACTTACTTTACCCTGAGTTTGTCTTACTAATTGATGGTTATTCCTCCCTGATAAATTATTTGTTTCATATAGTTTGTCTTTCATACTAATTATATGACTTGAACCAGAAGAGGTATCTTTCTCTACTCCAGAGAATAATTGACTAGATGTTGAAAGATTATTTTCAAACTGCTGATTCAGATTATCTAATTCTAAATGATCTATTTTAACACATGGATCATTAACAAGATACATTTTTTTATTTTTTAATAAGGTTAATGAGCCACTTCGGGTTAAATTTGAATGATGGCTGATTGTCAAATCACTACCCGTCGAATTTTTTGATGTATCATAACTTCGATCTTTACCTGTTGACTGATTAGCATTTATTATTGATGGAGGTGAATTAGATGCGTACGATGTGGTTGTTTTGACTTCGGAATAGGTGGATTTCTTTGTTTCATCATCACCATCGTAATCTTCATCACATGATAGCTCTGGACTTTCGGATTTTTCTGCACAAGCATTAACAGTTGCCATGAGTTGAGCTAATCTTATTCTTGCCTGTCTGGCACGCTAAGAGATTAGATAAGAAGTGAACCAAATACAGAATTATTTCGGTTTTATCCCACAAGTTAAAATGATATTAAGCTAAAGATGTTCATACATTCGACAAAAAATAATACAACAACCATCGTACCTTTACGTTTTATTTATTGGCTCATGTTCACAATGAAAACCTAATTCTTTCAGCAAAATGTTTGGTGTCACTTTTAATGGCGTCTTATAACGTTGTATAAATTTATTAGCTATAATGCTAAAATATATTTATATTTTTTACAAGAAATTTCCTAAAATAGGAAATTACAAAACAACCCAATTATATTACATTTATTATTGCTTTTGAAAATGGTATTATTGGTTATCATTATTTCAGAATAGATGTAAAAGTCCACAATTTGCATAATCGTTGTCTGTTTAATAACAATAATATCTCGCAATCACACTAATACTAACTCAGATATAAATTTGAACAAGGTTATAGCCTTTGATAATTTGTTTCTCATCACGATACATATCTAAATAATTAGGCGAAAATAGTATGCACTTGGAAATTTTGAGCAAATATTTCGGTAACATTGAAATCAGTCACAGTATTTTAACTGTTTGTGGTCATATCCTCACAGTAGTTTGTATGTCAGCCATCATTTTTAAACTAATTCACCTGTTTATATCCCAAGTGTACTTCTATCACTAGAATAGAATATTTCATTCTTAATGAAATGATATATTTGTAAATATAATGAAAGTTGAAGGCCAATGTATTGTTGGAAATTTAAACATTTTTCTAATACATATTTACCTGTTTGACCTAATGTTTTGTAAGGTCACACTATAAAACAGAAATCTTATTAGCGTCATACAGTGACGCTTAAATATTGATTTAATTGATCTGTCTAATATAGTCGTTAAACGGTGATTACATTAAACATAATGAAGACGTTTCAATGAAGAAAAATCTTTCCTTTGATCGTGTTTAATAGCTTCTTAAAATTCTCCTATGACTTTTGAACTTGCTGAATACAAAAAAAAACATTGTTTTGACTACATTGTTTTTGTACGTACATTTGTCTACTGAAATCACCAATGAAGTATTTGTCCTCTTCGATAATGAAATCAACAGGCAGTTTTGTGAAAATGAACGAGCTGTTTGAGTGAATAAGTATAGAGGTTTTGTATACTAATAAGTTCAATTCTTTCCGTAATTACAAAAACATTTCTGTTATTTTACATCCTTACAACATGATGGTGAAGTAAGCATAGTATTTCTAGACAAAATAGCAAGGAATTTCTCCTCAGCTAAATACTTTTGTTAAAATCCATTGAATTTGGGTTTGCAACTTAGTCATCAGTATATTTCCATATCTTTCAAATTAAATTAATATGTACAAATAATAGGCATATAATTGAATAAAAACAAAACATACTTTTTCTCCCAAGCACTGGTAATGATATGCTTAAAACATATCAGCCTTTTTATAAATTATCCTACAGTAAAATAAATGCTGAAGACTTTGGAAAAACCTATTCACAACCGCTAATGTAATTTAAGATATATTCTCCTCTGAATATACAAAATCCAAAACCATGTATCCCAGACTTACTTTTTGTGCTTGTCTTTTATCAGATCTTTGACTTTGATTATAGATGCGAGAGAAGTTTGATACAATAACGGGAACAGGTAAAGCAATTACAAGCACCCCAGAAAGTGAACACATACCACCAACAATTTTTCCAACAATTGTCTCTGGAACCATATCTCCATAACTGATAAAAAACAAACAAAAGTTACCGATATTTTATTACATGCTCGGACAGATCACAGCACCTCACCTACACTTCAGTCTGGATACATTTTGTTTTATTAAGCCCTTCAATTAACTCATTTAACAGCATGGTCATTCGGTCAATAACAATTTGTCTATATATTTGTATTATTATCACATTTGTGTGAGCATGTACTCTTGAACGCGGGTTAGAGCTTACATACATATCTTACCAGCATAAGTGTTAGTTACGTAAATAATTTGATGATTCATTTGGTTCCTCATATATATGGTTCTTAAATCCAATGTCTAAGTCGTAATCGTTCTTATTCATTCCTATTCTCATCTCTGTTCCTATTTGCTTTAAGTGCTTTTAATTTTGTGATCTGAGCTGTACAATAATGAGCTTCAGTTAACGCATCGTATTGTCTTCTGAAATATAAACATCGTTGGGAGTTGTCCAAAATTGGTTATCAGAACAAGTGATATACGAGGCATAGGAATTATTTCGAAAAAATTCCACTACATAATAGTTTGGGTACTCTATTGTCTTGCCCAGGATAGTGTCGGATGGAGAATGCTGGTGGGTGACCTATGCTCGTCTACCAGGGATAACAGATGTAAGTAAGTAAATAATATTTTTTCAAGCCATTAGCTGATAACAAAGAGAAAAATGAATGCAAACAAAAATGCATCATATTCTAAGAACATTGATTACTGTTCGATATGGAATGTCATTTACCTTCAGCATGCTCTAATTACTGTGCATTTTGTACTTTGAAATTTATATGTGTACATATAAACCACAAAATGCAATACTAGCTTTTCTTCTCCACCGAAAAATAAGTTTAACAACTAAAATCTAACATACAATACATTTTCCCCTATGAACATTATCTCACTTAATTCGGACAGATATATTTAGAAAGAATAAACTTAATGACCAGAGGTTTCTATATGCAAAGTAGGTTATCTTTGATTTCTTTATTTCCAAATTTAAGGATACTGAAGCTCACATTTAGGTCAAATATCGAATAAGTAAGTAAACAATATTTACTACGAATTTAAGAATCACTCGATATCTATTATTATTAAACAGTTCAATCTTTTCCAGTTCTTAACATCATTTGAAAGACCAGATTTTTCCTTGAGGATAAAATATATAAGTAATAAGAAATACGACACCAAAATAGTCAAAAACTATTATTACCGATATTTATAAGAATATCCTATAATTTGTCAACATATTCAATCTATTAAATGGAGTTATTTTAATATGGTAGGACACAAAGATTTCCCTCGTATTCTTTTCATTGTACAGATACATATACTTCATATGTCAAATTTATAACAGTGGTATTGAAAACCTACTTAAAATATTTCAAGGGGAATGAAATCGCAACTGAATGCGAACAAAGTGTAACTGATATATTGATCTTCAAACTAACGTGGTGGACAGAAACAAAAATATGTTATCACAATACTATCCCTTAGATTTCTCAACCATGGCAAATGAAACTGTTAACTTTTTAATTAATTTTTGTTGACTAATCTCAAAAATGTCATCCACCGAGAATTGGAGCAAGCTTTCTGCTTCATTCCATCCTATGTCCTCATTTACTCATATTCTTAAAAAGAAATTAACACGTAACAATCATATGTTTCTAGGAATGAAAAGTTCCTGTACAAGTAATTCCTAAGCTTTCCATTATAATCAAATCAGTAATGTATTAAGAAGTTGAATTTTCAATTGGTAACAAATCAATAAATGAAGCGATATCATGAAATTGCCTGGTGTTACCCCTTACATTCAGTGGAAACAATTCATACTAAATGAATCCTATAAATCAAAGAAGAAATAGCTAAAAATGAAATAAAAACTGGTTTACAAGAATTATGCATGAAAGTTTAACGACAGACATCACTCACGACCCATCTTTATTTCAAATTATTTCTGTAAACTTACCCAAGTGTAGTCATAGTGACGATAGTGTACCAAAATGATGACGGAATACTGGAAAAAGTGGTCCCTTCAACCGATTTTTCAGCATAATACATAACAGTAGCAAAAATAATAATAACCATTGTTAGACTAAATAGAAGAAAGCCCAGTTCAGATGCACATGATTTCAAAGTGTAACCGAGTATTCTTAGACCAACACTGTGACGAGAAAATTTGAACACTCTAAATACTCTAAATACTCGTAACGTTGTAAATACACCAGAAACGCTCTGTAATAAAAAGAGAAATATATGTTTGTCAATTGGATTGCTAGTCTAACTTAAAGCATTCCAGTGAATCAATATAACTTTAATCATTAGACGAAATAGAGAATGTATTTGTGCTAATATTTATTAAAGCTTTGAGTTAAAAAGTTCAACTAAACTGTGGAGGTTCAGTGTTAGGTCACACTAGTTAACCGTTTATTTTGCATGGATGAGGTTGAATAATAGATATAACGGTTTTTTTTATCTTCCGATAAGCAATTAATCATATGATGTGATTGAAATAAACTATATTCTATTTAATCCAATCACCTGTTCCACAGTAATTAAAACGGCTTTCATAAAATTGTGTAAATACCTTGATTTTTTAAAATAAAAAGCTGCATCTATGCATAATTAAACAGCTTTAAAAGTATATAAATTACATCCTGTTTAATTGAGATCTTTCACGATTGCTTAACAAAATCAATATATTTGGAGAAAAAGAATACCGAAACAATAAACAGATCATAATATTATTTGTAAGATTAGATAATACTTTTCAAAAATAAATATTAATTTAGCGAAACAAGTAAACACTGAAGATGAGTTCTAAATTTTTTTGTGCAACAAAATACATTTCAACAAAAAGTCAAAATCCAAAGAAGACTTTTTCCAAACCCAACTTTCTTTGCAGGAGGAAAAGACATCCATATAGTTTCAGAAAAGTTTTAAATTAGAATTTTAAAATCCAACCAAATTGTTGACGTCACATAAAATAGTAAGAAGGTTATTATTTGTTAATTAACGGTCAAGGATATTGAATGATCTGATTTGACTACTGTACCTACGACCTTTTGTAGTCAAATGTAATTGTCAGAAGGGGTTTTGTGGGGATTTAGTATTTTCATAGTTGAAAGCGTGAGTCAATTGAAGCTAGATCACCATGGAAAACCTGGAAGAACTGGACGACCGTTTCGTCGTATTATGGGACTTCTCAGCAGTGGGCATCCACGATCCCTCACTCGCGAGATTCGAACCCAGGACCTACCAGTCTCGAGTCAGAGCCCTTAACTGGTAGGTCCTGGGTTCGAATCTCGCGAGTGAGGGATCGTGGATGCCCACTGCTGAGGAGTCCCATAATAGGACGAAACGGCCGTCCAGTTCTTCCAGGTTTTCCATGGTGATCTAGCTTCAATTGACTCACGCTTGCAACTGTGAAAATGTAATTGTCTCTGTTATCGTTATTCACAAATCTTTGTATTATTATTATTAATCTCACATATACATGATTCACTCACTTCTCATCCATCCATTCTTATTACGTCTTACTAATTTTTCACACAATTTAGTCTTCCATTCAACATTTGATCGAATTGTAATTGCACTATCATATCTCTCTCATCCTATCTGACCCATTTTATTCTGATCATGGATCTTAAATATTTACTTACCATATATACAGATTCAAGTTAACATTCTATATGAGTCATATCAACATTAACAATTTTATTCTATTTATTTTGACAATCCTAAATCTACATGCCTTAAACAATGTATTTTGCCCTTGGCTATTTTTTTCGGATTATTAATTTGGATATATAGTTGTAGAACCTGAAGAGAATTTATCGAAAACAATATTCTTCTTTCTAATATTGATCTTTTAGATATTATATTTATCAGGAAAGTCTCAAATTACAAATCACTTTGTCTAGAAACTTAACATTTGATATGAATACTATTATCAACAGTTTCAAGAATAACTTAAATTAACATTATCCTAATCTCTTACATTATCTATAAAGGATGATCAAGATTTTTCATAAAGTCGTAGTTCGTGAAGAGAAATAAGAAGATAATGTTTTTAGCTATTTTGATTACAAATTATGTATCATTTCTGCTAGAAAAGTTTATTAAATAAAAATGTTCACCTGAGTCATCAAAAATACAGGGTGATATGAGTTGATAGTAGTGCTGTACGTAATTTTGTGTCGTTTACAGTATACCTCGCATCATTTCATAATTTCAACATCGAACGAATTTATGATAAGTAAAAATTATCTTTAGTTTCATTAAATTTCTAAATTAATGAACAGCCTATTATCAACTAGGATACGAACATTTAATAGGCGTTGCACAATTGGCATTAACCGTAGTTTCCGAATAGCTTACACAAAATTATGTAAAAGTGTAGCACACATCATGCATGCACATAGAAACATAATGAATTATTGGAGCGTATAACTTAATTATCCCATCTTTACTGGCATTCGATTATACAACACGATTTCTGATTCAAGTAAACTGTGATTATACTACTACCACTTTCCAAATTACTTTTAAGCACACATAAAAGTAGTGAAGTTATTACACTAGTTCAAAGATTTTAGGAAAAGCATTCCAACTAAACTTCCATCACTATATGTTACAAATATATATGTAAGTCCCGAAAGAAGTAACGTAAATATGAAAATGAGAATGGTAGTAAAATGAATTGGAATAAAACTATTTCACTTAAAAATCAATGAATAATAACAGTTTCTTAGATTACTTGTATTTTTGTAGATATTCAAAGTGACTAGTGTTTTTAACTATATTTCTTGATCAGATTTATCAACTCACGCATACTTATAAAAGTGGCGTCAATGAATATCAACACAGCGTCATAGAAAATATGATCTTCCAAACAGACTTACAAATTCATATAAAATTACTTAGAATAAAAGTCGAATTACAAAAAACGTATTTGGAAATTTATAAGAATCGCAAACAAACTTATAAAAACTTGAGGTTAAAATTGCTTCATAACTTTCTTCCTTCCTATACTATATCCTTATATACAACCTATCTTTTATATATTACCACCACTAAATTAACTACTTCTATGAATCCTGTGTTTATCTTGTTGTGCTAACGAGATATGCAAACTTCGACCGATGCATATGTGTGCCTGGTCCCATGTTTTAGCTGACTGGCTGATTTATAAAAACTTGAAATGAATGAAATTTTAAATTAATGAATGATTGATAAGAATACCAACAAGCGCAAGTTTAACTTCTCTAATTAAAATAAAAATTTCATATTAGTTAGAAAACTAGTTGAATGGTGCAATTATTCAATAAAATAGTAAAAATCAATTAACAGTTTGTTCATCATGGTAATGAAAAAAAGTAATTACTACTTTCTTTTAAGCATAAAACTCAAATCATAAATGTTAAATATCCATAACCTAAGCACTTAATGTAATTCTACTCTCCAAGAATTTTAAATCATGTACATGATAGTTACTATAAATACTCCAAAGTTTTATAATCACAAGCTTTTTCTTACCAAGCTTTACAGTAAAATATTAATAAATTAAATGAAACCAGAAAATTTTGTTAGTTTCACAAAATAAATTGAAGTAACCTTTATAAATGACTGAGGTTGCTTAACTTGTATCGGAAAATTTATTATGTAATCGACGAAAATGTGAAGCTTTCAAAATGGCTCTTCAAAAAATAAGAAGTGACACCCAACTTTTGACATGATCTGACAATCGAAAGGCATAAATGTCTTGTGAAATGTCAAATCTAAGACATTTTTAACTAAAATTGTTTTACAGACTCTAACAAAATCTACTGTACTATTTTAGTTGACGTATTGAAAAAAAGCTGACTTTACTAAATTCGATTCCCTGCTATACAAATTTAAGTAATGGGATGAAAGCTATTTATAGGATTTGAAAACCTTGAAACTTTTCAACAATGTGTTCATATTTAAAACATCAGTCAGTCTTCATTTCTATAATTCATTAAACAATAATCATTCAAAAAATGTAACTAGACCCTGTCGTCGTAACTACCAAATAATAAAATGTTGATTTCCTGAGAAAATATAAAAATCTTAGACGAAAGTTCTTATATATGAAAATCTTAGTTACAACACTGAATTTAGTCTGATTATCAAAGAGCTATTTTTCTAATGGCTGCCGATTATTTCTATGAAATAATTTACTGGTTTTATTAAGGACAGTGTGTTTTAGTTAATATAGTCTTAACAAAGAGGTTTTCAATTTTTTAGAATATCTAAAATGTTCAATCAAATAACTTTGTTCAATTAAGTTTTGCCCTTTTTCTATTGAAATTATTTTAGCATCCATTAACAATCAGTGTTTTATGAGGTAGGATTAAGTGGTCATGGGTAGAAGACGATTTTACTATCCTACTAAAATAAGCACTGTCAGTTTTGTACTAGCAAGAATATTTAAGTAATATGATCAATGACAATCAAAGATATTATTTTTTCATAAAATGTACTATCCTCCATATATTCACTCCTCACCTTTTTCTTGGAACTGAACATGGTGTAACTGACTTGATTTCATTAGAATGAGATTAACTCTACTCATATTTCTTTCCAATTTTTATAAGATAGGGGATTTAAATTAGAACTTTGTTATTCCTGATTCGAAAAACACCTCATTTTTTCTGTCATTATCAAAATTTTAAACTATGGTACAGGACCTGTTATAAAGTAATTTATCTTATAACTGATAGAAGACTATTTAAGGTCATCTTTTTCATGGTAACGTTGAATCACAATACCATTTCTTTATTAAGCGGCACAATCCTGTTTTATACAAATTTTACTGATGTAAATGATTATCCAAGAACCTCTTTCAAGTTTTAGTAGAAAACCGCACAAGTAGATTAAATGCTATTATTTGTTTTACTTATTTGCTTTACTTTTGTTAATTTATTCCTTCACTGTGCTGATTTAAAGTGTGGTAATATGAATTCATTTCCATCTGTTTCAGTTCCTACATTAATAATAACTGAATGAAGTACTTCATAAGCCACATTTTAGACTGAGATTTTTACTGATACAAGATCCGGGTTTTTAAATATTAATAATTTTTTATTTTTCTGTGCAGTTTTGGTTCAGCGTCTTTGGTCCATTTGTCTCATTCCTCCAATATTATATAAATAATTACTGAGCAAAAAATCAAGGCAATGGATGTTGTTTACAATCAAAAAGTCGGTTAC